TTTAATGACCTGTGATTTTGCTTTCTATGTTGTAGTAACTTGTAAGGTAACTTTCCATATTATAGTAAATTTTGGGGTAACTTTCATATGAGTTTCACCCTTCAACATCTATCCTCTAATACGCTGATATTACAGGAACGCTGAAGCTCAGTCCTGCCTCATGATAAGTTCCCCATTGCCACAGCGTTTCCCTGAGGCCTCTAGGGCTGCACTCTCCATCTGGCATCCGCTAGACATGAGTGACTATTTAAGTTTACATTTGAATTCCTTAAGATTAAATAAAATGTAAAATTCAGTTACTCGGTCACACTAGCCACATTTCAGGTACTCATTAGCTACAAAAGGCTAGTGATAACTGTGTTGGACAGCACAGATATGGAATATTTGGTATTGCAGAAATTTCTACAGGACAGCACTGCACTATAGCTAAACCTCTTGCAGATGCCCAATTCACTTTGTCTTTTTATCCAAATATGCTTTCCTACCTCTAAAATACCTCACATGCTTTCCCTCCTCTAAAATACCTTTATCTATTCTTTAATATATGAAATCACCCTCTATTTCATTTATGAATAAAGGGATAAAGGTATTTTTGAGGCCATCACTGAGAGACAGCAGCAGAGTAAATATTAGAGTCTTATATCTAGAGTGGGTGGAGCTGGCTAAATAAGACTGCAGCTTTCCTCAGAATCACCAGTCATTTTATATCTCTGTGGATCTTCCCTGTTATCAAATATTTGTCTTATCTAAGGCATAAAATGCCTTGCAGCAAGTAAATACACCATAACAGCAAGGGTTAGCTTCACTCTTACAATTTATTTCTGTGCTCCATATGTTGCACGCTACTGATTGTTTCTCAGTTAAGGAAAGGAAGTAAGATACAGAATTTACTGAGTAATTAAAATGTCCATTCTTGGAACCTGTGAGCTGATTCTATTTTTAGTGAAAATAAAACCAGAGCCATCTACCCTAAAATGATTAAAGTGAGAAGAATGAAATGTCTCATTTTCTATATGAAGAACTTTGAAGTAGAGGTTAGAATGCCTGGGGTTTACATATTTGCTTTAATATTTATGAGACACGGATCTAAGGCAAAACTCCTAACTTCCTTCGGTCTCATTTTCTCAATCTATGAAGTTAAAGTAATCATGATACAGGTCCTGCCTGTCTCCCAGAGTTTTGCTGGGAGCACATAAGGCCCTCAATGTTAAATGCCTTTAGGACTTGGCACCAACTTGGCGCATTTTCATCCACAGTGATATGTAGCTTTGAGTTACATATTGTCCTTCTTCCAGGTTATACATCAGTATTGTTTTCTTATGATGCATTACAAATATTTATTCTAAAGTGGCCAAACATCTTGACTTTTTTGTATAAAGAAGGGAAACCACATCTTGAGAACGAGCCAGTGTAAATGTTGGAATTTTTTATCCAAAGTAGGTAGAGTTGACTAACAGGTAAAAAATAAATGAATAAGTAAAAACAGATGTACATACTGTGAAAAACTAAGGATTAAGAGAGTAAAAGAGTATAGCAATTGTTTCTTAGCTGCCTGATCCTTTTATCTAAAAATACAAATTTCCACATAGGCCTGCTTAAGTTTTAAAAAGAAAAGTTCACCTTGGATCATAGTAGGGAAAGAAAGAAAGAAAGAAACACCAAGGGTGGTCTTGAGACAGGTCGTGAGAACCTAGAAACTCTAAGGCTGGGTGATTATTAATTTCCTAGCTAGCAAGGGGGAAAGAATGGGCATGGCTTCCACAGGGAACGCCGAGTATGTCAGCCTAATTAGAGGTGGGTACAAGGTAGAGAATGCTGAGAAATAATGCAGGACAGATGACATTCAGCATCTGAAGGGGACTTGGGATTCAGACAGAAGTTTTGGGTCAGTGGGAGCACTCAATTCAGAATAATCTAGATTACAGATTCCTGGGCCTCACCATAGACCTGTTTATTGACTCAATGGATGGCAGCTGAGAATCTGTAGTTACAAAGTCACACAGGTGTTGCTTCAGTACATTGAAGTTCAGGAACCACTGCAGCAGACGTAAAATATAAATATTTTTTAGTTTTTAGTTTTTAAAAATTTAAAAAGAAATTTTAAATGTTTTCCAGCTTTATAAAGGGATAATTGACAAAGTTTGTACATATACATCTATCAAAATGTGATATTTTGATGGATGCCTATATATATATATGATGTGCATACATCTATCAAAATGGTATTTTGATATATGTATAAGTTGTGAAATGATTGCCACAATGAAGATAATTAACATCTGTCACCTCACATTGTGTGTGTGGTGAAAACATTTTAATATCTTCTCTTTTAGCAAATTTCAAATATAAACTACATTATTAATAAGTATAACCATCATACTATATTTTTTCTCCAGAACTTATTTATCTTATACCTGGAAGTTTGAATTCTTTCACTAACATTTCTCCATTTCTTCTATTTTTCAGCCCCTGGCAATCACCATTCTACCACTCTATTTCTATGAATTGGACTATTTTGGATTCCACTTATTAATGAGATCATGCATTGTTTATCTTTCTGTATCTGGCTTATTTCACTTAGCGTAATATACAATAAGTTCGTCCATGTTGTTGCAAATGACAGGATTTCCTTGATCTAGAGTCATATTCCTACAACATAGGAGTAATGTGAAGTAAGGGGCCTTGCAACCAGTGTCCAGGATAACTCTTAGGATGAAAAAATGAGGTGACACTGAAGGAAGTGGAACTGGCAGAGCTGTTACCCACAACAAGAGGGATGAGGGCCTTCACTAGGGTCTGAATCAAGGAATAGACGGGAATCGGTGACTAACCATTATTAAAAATAATAAATGGGTAGGAGTGGGTAGGAGATCCAAAGTGCAGGAGAGGAAGTATTTAAAACTGATCACATAATTGTAAGTCCATATAAAGAGGAGAGAATAGAGATACATTACACAAATGGAGAATTGAGAGTGGCTAATTTTGTAGAAAATAAGTTTAGCTTGGAGTATTTAGATGATGGCAATACTTTTAAACAGAAACTTACAGAAAATAATTGAAAGAAAGAGGAGCTCCAAACTTGCAAGATAAATCTTGGCTAGAACAATTGATGAAATTTTTATGTAACACCCTCAAATGAGGGTTCTCTGTGTTTGTACCCCATTAAATTGTCAAAATATATGTTATTTCACATGCAAAGGATTACATGAGCTAAATGCCAATCGCGTGGGCAACCCAAAATGAAAATGTTTTACATTCAAGCATGATACTCCAAGCTGTATTCACAGTTTATGTCAAAGATCAAAATGTATGGCCTAGTTGATAAAGTGAACATATTTAGTTATTTTGCTCTTTCTACACCAGATGTAAAGTCCTTAAGTGTTGGACAATGTGGTTAGAAACTCATCTATATACCTCAGTGACCTCAAATATTTGATAAATGCTTAGTTGAACTCAATTTTAAAGTGATCCTTAGAGATGATTCCTGACAAATATACGGCATCTTTCTACCCCGGAGTTAAGCCTGTTTTTGTTAAATCCCTTGGGTTCAATTCCCAACTATGCTGCAGTCCTTTGAGAAGCTAATTAAGATGCCTGGCTAATATGGGAATTGTGGTCTGAAAATTAAAAGTTAGAGTGTGCCTCAAATCCCAGACTGGGTCCTCCCGCTGGGAGGTTTCCTAGTATTAGATATGCCCTTAACGCAAACTGTTTATTCCAAACTACGGTCTTAGTTGGAGTAGAATTAGAAAAGTATATGTGAGGAGATCTTTGATGGCTCTTACAACCTATACATACTTATAGCAAAAGTGTTTTTTAAAAAAGGCTTTTGGTCACAAGTGTTTTTGTTTTGTTTTGTTTTGTTTTGTTTTTTTTGCTTGGTCCTATTTTTGGCAAAAAAAGAAAAACTATTACAATCATTTAGCATGTACAGTATCTAAAACATCTTATTGGTCATAGTACAAATAAAAAGATAGGTATGTTCTCAGAGAACGTAAGTTCTCTGATGCATCTCTAAATTTGAGAATGTACTTATACTCATGCAAGGATAAAAGTATATTTTTATTGTTTTCTGGTATTTTGCAGTACACATTCTTATACAATATATTGTAAGGAATAGTGAATATAAAACACATTATGTAAGGAACTCATTGTGTATTAAGTATTTGTTGTATCTAAATGAACACTTTTGCATTTTCTAAACTTGAATTTATATCTATATTATAAAAATTAAATTATTTAGAATAAGTTTATATTTGATTCCTGTCCTTGACATTCTATGCTGTTTGTGTTAATTAATTTAATAAATTAATTACTCATAGACATATTTTTTATTTTAATATAAAGAAATTCAAAGCAGATTCAAATGTATTTTCTACCAAACACTTTTTTAGACTTTTGGATTGCATCACATATGCACAGAATAGATAAATACATTTATTCATTAATTTGACAAATACTTACTGAGCATATACTATGTCCCAAGAACTGTTCCAAGTGCCAACGATACAGCAGAAAACAAAGCGTGATTTGGGTAATCAAGAGCTTGCACTTCATCCTATATGTCAATAATTATAATAGTATTTTACCTCCAGATAGTAATTTTGATTCAAATCTTTATTATAATAAACTCATAAACCTTAGAGATTATTTCTAGAAGCAGAGGTCATAGAATAAATTCTGCTGCAGAGCTGAACATAGAGCTCAAGTTTTAATTAATTCCTTCTAGCTTTCAGTAATATGGACACCTAGGCTTTCAAATTAGGGATTTTCCTTTCTTGGAAATTCATATCACGAGCAAACTCAGTTTACTTAATGTAATTGATTGATTTGACCCATGTGAAAAGGACTACTGTGTATGAATTGATGAGAAGTGTTTGAGCCTGGTCATTTTAATTGCAAATATTTTATAATCCATGTCTTTATAAATGTATGTTTCTAACTCTGCATCCTTTAATGAGAGGTCTTTATCTTTGCATCCACTGTTCACTTTTTTCCAGGTCTTAGGAGGAAAGCCGGAGCTTCCAGATGGAGGTGATGATGATGACATTATAGCAGACATAAGTAACAGGAAAATGGCTAAACTATACATGGTGAGTTCACTGTAACCAAATTTATTGTTTCTACAGGACTGGATGTAGCTACAGAGGCCTGTATTGGGAGGGATTCCCTTTGTTGCAATTGAGAAATCTCCTCATCGTTCTCCAAGAGCAATGTGTAGATAGAATCAGTTCATTGCTCTTGTATATTTTTTTAAATTAAGTTTTAATACTTTTTGTTATTTTTATGTAAAACAACAAATATGTGAACTTATTGCTGTGACTCACATAAAATTATATACTGTTGCTGTACTAGTTTGCAACAATCGTTTGATATGTAGTACTCAATACAATATTTCCTTTATGGAGTAAAAATATTTTATCAGTTTTTTCTTATAAATTCTTGATAAGAATGTAAAGCCTTCACCCTATTTAAAACATTGTCTTTAGCCATAATGAAGGAGTTCTTTGTTACAGGAGGGCTGAGCTACCAAATGAAACAGCTGGAGGGAACCAGGGTAAAAACACTTCTGTTCTGGGCATTAACATACCTACTTCCACATCAGCTGTATGGCACATGATTAGCAGCATGACTTCGCACAGGACATAACCACTCTGGGTCTTAGCATTCTTATCCACACACAGAAAAGAAAGTAGGTTCCTTCCAACTCTGTAGTTTTTTTTATTTTTTTGTTCGTTTGTTTTTTCTGTTGAGGGTAACAAAAACTGCAAGGCACTCCAGTTAAAAGGATTGCTACAGTGGTATTCTTCAAGTGTTCCCTCCCCTTGCAACTTTCTTTGGAGCAAATCGTAAATCTCCAGCAGAATTTAGTAGTTATCTCACCTGTATCAGAAAGAAACTATATTTGCTGCTCTTTAAAGGGTTTTTGGCTCCGAAACTCTGTGATTTTATGTGAAGACCAAATTAATAACTTGTTCAGCGTAACTTCCTTTTCATAATAAGTGGATTTTTTTCTTCCTAGATGCAAAAGGAAATATGGTTACCATTTCTGCTAAATACTGGTAATTTTAATATGAGCCATACAGAAAGTGTTACCTAAATATTTTGTGACTGCTTTTAAAAATTACTATTTCTAAAACTCATTTTCAACAGCCTGACAGATATCTTTTATTTCACATCATCAACCAAAACGGTTCTCCCTCTTGGACAGCATTATGAACTAAAGAAGTGTTTTTAAAGGGGAAGATATTCATCCTGAGTCATAGCTTCCTCTAGTGGAGCTATGCTGTATTACATGGATACAAAATATAAAGTTCCTTTGAAAATAATTCCGGTTTCTTAACAAGGCTGGCAAGCAAAATCACCTGGGGCATTTTCTAAAACTACGGAATTCAAACTCCACCCTGGTCCTGCAAAACTCCACCACTGATCAAGGGAGGGCTCTGGAATCTGCATAATTGCTGACTAAACTGTAGCATACAAGCTGGCCATTGAAAACCAGTAAATCCTAACTTGCACATGAATATCACTTTCGATTTTATAAGACCACTTAAAAATTTGTTTTAATAGTCTGTAGTCATTTCCAAATGTGACAGAAGAAATTTACTTTGATAATTTATACAAAGTGTATTTACCTTGCAGGACCTATGTTGAAAAAAATCTTTATGCATAAACTGTATCAATAGCTTAATTAGCAAAGTGGCTGGTATATAGTAGATAGTAAATGTTGACTAAATTAGTGTTTAAACTTCATCTTCTTGTGTGTATGTAATGATTTTAAGATTATTACCTATTTGAAAAGATTGCTCTAAAACGTACAAGAAATAATCATGTAAAGTTAATTACATGGTTCTTAGTACATAAGAGCATCTGTCTAGCCATTATTATTATCACTATTCTTTTCTAATGTTTTAGGCACAGTGTCAAAACTTAACTTTTTATTTGTTAAGTTTACCCCAAAGGACTTTTTAAAAAAATTGGAGTGTAATGAAGTCTTGTGGATTCTTTTCATTTTCTTTGAAACAGTTTTATTGAGATATAATTTATACACCATAAAATTCATGCATTTAAAGTGTACAGTTCAATGCTTTTTATTTTATTACATTTACCGAGTTGTACAACCATTACCATAATCTAATTATAGAACATCCTTATCATCCCCAAATGAAAAGGTTTTTATATTAGGTTTAGATGGCAAGTGGCGTCCATGAGGGTGGACTTGTGTGTGGCAGTGAATGAAAAAACC